TAAATAGTAAGTCAAACAAAGGTACATTCTGTTAGAGAATTAATCTGTGGTCTCTTATTAGATGAAGCTCCACATAGGGTTCTTTTTGCCTTATTTTCATGTTTGGGATAATTTTTCTTAACAGGATTTAGGGCAAATTACCTCAAATCTCTCTGAACCTCAATGCCTTTATTTGAAAAGTGGGAACAACAATATCTACCTTATGGGGTTGTTGCAGGATTTAAATAAAATTATGTATCTAAACATCTCCCACGACATGTCAATAAACGGTAATTCCCTTTTCTCCGTGTATTCCTTTTATTCCATATTATCTGACATTTTGCCAACCAGATCTCTTTTGATTGGCACTTCTACATGTTACCAAAATAATGGTAATTCATGGTTATAATGATCCTAAGACTCTTCACAGCCTTCTGTATCATTACAGATAAAATTATGTGCTTAGTATATTATTAATGTTAAGTGTAATTTATTATGCTTTACTTTTTAAAGTCATTATCCATGGAACTTGACTCAGTTAAAACAAAATATCCAGTTATCCAAAACCATATTTTCTAGATTATTAAGCATAAAAGAAAATTCTACCAAGTGTTTTTACTTGGAACAATAATTTGAATCCACAGGTAGATTTGAACAAACACGCTCTAAATTTTCTTCCAGCTCTAAGATTTTATAGTAAGTAGAAAAGGATACCTAAGGAAAAAATAATATGGAGAAAGGAGAGAGTTTATGTATTTTAGTCCTCAGAAAAAAAGAATACAATTGTATACTAAAAATAATGACTTAATGACTGTGGGGTAGCATTTTTATTTCTTTAAAAATATGAAATTATAGGCAATTTCAAATATATAGAAAATAACAAAACTCTCGGGTACCCAGCTTAATATTTAACATATCTTAATATTTATCTGTGTCTCCTTGAGATTGAAAAAGAAATAAGATATAGCTAAATTTCTCTTCTCATCCTGCACTCTCTCCCTTTCTCCACCTCCCACCCGACAAAGGTAATCATTATCCTGAAGTTGATCCATATCCTTATGGCAATGTTATATACCCAAAACACTATATATCATTATTTTGTGAGATCTGTAGACTTTACTCAAATGATATCGTATGCTATACGTTTTTCAACATCTTTTGTTCACTCACATTAGGTTTTTTAACTTTATCTGTGTAGATATATCTAGACCTACCTTACTTTGTATTCCAAAATGTAATTATTCTGCAATTTGTTGAACTGTTTCTTTTTTTTTCTTTTTTTAAATTTATTTATCATTTTTATTTTTTGGCTGCATTGGGTCTTTTGCTTGTTGCAGCGAGCCAGGGCTACTCTTCACTTCAGTGCACAGACTTCTCACTACGGTGGCTTCTTTTGTTGCAGAGCACGGGCTCTAGAGCACGCAGGCTTCAGTAGTTGCAGCATGCAGGCTCAGTAGTTGGGGCTCATGGGCTCTAGAGCACAGGCTTGGTAGTTGTGGCTCACGGGCTTAGTTGCTCTTCGGCATGTGGGATCTTCCAGGATCAGGGCTCGAACCCATTTCCCCTGCATTGGCAGGAGGATTCTTAACCACTGCACCATCATGGAAGTCCATCATATTGAGTTTTAAGTGTGATCTATGTGTATGTGTGTGTGTGTGTGTATAACCCTTTAATGGTTATATGCATTAAAAATATTTCCTCCTAGTATTGGTTTGTACTTTTAATTAATTTATGTAATATTATATATTCTTTTCACTTGAATGTGGTCCATTTTCCTCTCTTGAGTGGTAGTGTATACAGCAGTGGCTCTAGAGTGCATCCACATTACCTGGGATCAACTCATACCTCTGCCACTTACCACACAGGTTAGGGAAGTGAACAGTCTCTCCAGGCCTCAGTCTTTTATGACGATCACAGTAATGATGGCCTCCTAGGGTTTTCATGAGGATTACATAAGTTAGCATATATAATTTACTCAGAATACTGTGTGCACATAGAATAGCTCAATAAATATTGGCTTATTGTTATTTTACTTTTATGGTTTGTGATTTTGTGTCTCATTTAAGAAATATTTATCTGCCCCGATATAAAAAAATATTATCTTAAATTTTCCATTAAAAGTTTTTAAATGTTGCTTCTACATTGATCCATCTGGAATTTGTTTTTTAAGTGTGGTATGGGTAGGAAGTCTCTTTTTTCTCACATTGATAACCATTTTGTAGCAATATTTATGGATAGCTAATCTTTTTCTCATAACATTACCTCTATCAATGTATCTATCATACATTACCTCTATCATTACCTCTATCATAACATTACCTCTATCATACGGTCTGACAATGGGTTCTTGATTTGTCCCAATGGTCTATTTGTCAATGCTATGCTGCTTTAATTACTATAGTTTTATAAAATACCTGCAGATACATTAGTATGGGTCTTCCCTCCTTATTCTTCTTCAAAATGTCCTGTCTCTTCCTGGCCTTTTGCTCTTCCACATGAATTTTAGGATCAGGTTGTCAAGTTCTATGAAAAATCCCACTAGTTCACTTCGGTTTTGAGAGTCAATTACAAGGCTAGATTTTATCCTAAGAAAGTTCATTTGTACTACATGTCAGCAGTATGTTCTGTGAAAAGAATCCTGGACTAAGATTTGGGTTAGAATATCTAACTAAATGAGCTCCTTGGGACAAGTCCATTCATAACTCTAGGCTTCAGTTTCCTCATCTGTAGAAGAATCTGGACCATGATCATACAATAGCATACCTAGAACAATACTACTCAAAAAGTACTCCCTACAAGAGCTGCGTTAGCATCCCCTGGCAAAAGGATAGCAAATTAGATTCAGAATCTGAGGACAGTGCCCAGGAATCTATGTTTAACAAGCTCCTCAGGTGATTCATACATATGGCATGAATGTTAATTTTATGGGTCAACTTGGCTAGGCCATGGTATCCAGATATTTGGTCACACAATATTCTAGATGTTTCTTCAGAGAAACTTTTTAAAATGAGATTAACATTTAAATCCGTGAACTTTGAATAAAGCAGGTTACCCGCCACACTGTGGGTGAGCCTCACCCAATCAGTTGAAGACCTTTCTAGAAACTAGACTGACCTTCCCCTGGGAAGAGAGAATTCTAACAACAGACCATCTTTGGACTCAAACTGAAACTCTTCCCTTGGTCTCAAATCTGCTGGCCTACTCTTCAGATTTTGGACCTGCCAAGCCTCCATAATCACATGAACCAATTCCTTAAAAAATATATACACACACATATATATATATATATATATATGTGTGTGTGTGTGTGTGTGTGTGTTATATTTACATATTTTATATATCTCTTCCTCTTACTGGTGTGTTTCTCTGGAAAACCCAGACTAATACACACAGTAAAGTTTGAGAGGCTCATCCTCCAATGCACCTGGCATAACTCCACCTTTCATGTATGACCTGTCCAGATTCATTCATCTGTGGAAGAACTATGGCTAGAATCTAGGTCACAGGACACCCAGTTTGATGTGTTTTCTGCTGTACTCTGCTAGTTAGGGAAAATACCCTGTAACGAAAATAAACTGTTTATGTTGAGTGGGTGAGTTAAAGAGAGCAGACATTTTATTTCTACAATGAATTAATTTGAGTTCCATTTAAATAAGAAGCCCACCTGGTGATTCATTTATAAATTTCTATATGCTTGACAGAAAAAGCAGCAGCAGGGGACTGAAATATTAGAGCTAAACATCCATTTAAAGGTGAATCACTAATTAAAAAAGTATCTCTGAAATGAAAACGTGAGACAATATAAGCTTCTTTTAGCAAAATATTTTATTTCCCTACAGGATGTGTGTGTGTCAATGGAGCCATAGATGAAGTGTAGATGTAAGCCCTTGTATGTTGATTCACTTGGGCCTAGACAGCATTTAGTGGGAGAAATTACCCACTCAGGCCCCAGGGATGTGAGCGACCCCATATCCCAATAAGGGAGCATGAGTGAATGCAGCTCCAGACTTCATCCACTTCCTAGGAACACACCCAGATGTGGGGAGAACAGCTGACACAAAAGGATCTAGGCTTAGATCATTAGATCATAGGAAGAATGTCCACAGTGTAAGCATTTTGACGCAGTGGAATGTACTCTGTGGGAGCTGGATCTAAACTCCTACCCAGCAAGCCAATGACTTTATGGTCCCCACCAGGCCTCACACTTTGTTTCTAAATATATGAACTGATCACTATCAGAGAGATTTTGCTGACTTGTACTCCATGGTGTATTAGGCCTTAGCGAGTAATCCGTCGATTTAGAAAAAGGGAAATAAAAAAGAGCATCTTCCGATCAGGCAGATGTGTTTCCTCACCTTTGCGTGTTTCGCGCTTCACACAAAACACGCAAAACCATGACTACTTATAACAATTGGGAGAGTTTGCAGAGAGTGGAAGCTAATCCTCTCATGTGGAATATAAGCTTGGACACACGGACATTTATAAACCCTTTATCCTGACTGAAAAGTCTTTGGTGTTTTCAAATGGCTCTGGGTTGTCTGAGGCTGACTCGGGGCCTTGTTAGAAATTTAGCATCTCCTCGGGCACCACGCTCTTGCCAGGGTAGGGAGCCTGCACTGAGTCAGTTGGGGAGGCGTCAGGAACATTGCTTGAATATTTATAAGTGAAAATATATTAATAGAGCTTAGAGAACCTCTATCCCCAAACCTCCAAGAGACAAAAGAAATGTCCAAGGGAGATCGCTGACTAGAATTTTTTAAGCTATTGATATTTTAAAATCTTTTTTAAATGACACTTCTCCTCCCAGCAACTGAACGGGGAGTTTCAAATACACACTGCCCATTCCCTGCCTTTATCACTTGTCCTCTTAGGGACCCTGTTGGGAAACTTTCTTTTGAGTGCATGGGACCTGACTCTCCAAAGAGAAAGCGACAAAGCCGGTGTGTTTCACAAATGCACATGCTCTCGTTAAAATAGATGTCCCTTCTCCCAGAGAGCCTCCCATAAACGCATTTTCATTCTCTAACTAAAATGTAGTGCAGCCTTTATTCCACAAAGCCAATTTGTTTATGTTTCCAAGTTCAATCACAATCTATTTGTAAAACCTATTTAGAATCAGAGTCACATAGCCAGAAATGATCATGCTCTAATTTCCTTATTAGAGAGATTCTTGTTGCAGCTGGCAGCCTGATTTGACTGCTCCCAGGGTTTGCAGCGACGTGTTCTTACCCTCGTTTCCCAATTTTGTTCTTCATGCCTTTTGTTCCCCCACCTCCAACATACAAATATCAAGCCAGAAGGAACAATTCCCGACATTGTTGCTTAAATGGAGGTGAAATAAGAGACTGCCACCTTTTCACCTGTCAAGAAATTAACAAAATTGGGTTACTCACAATATCTGCAGGAGAGAAAGGAACGAAATGTTCACAAAACACACTATGAAAAGAAGGATGCTTTAGGATTCAGGTAAAATGTCGATTATTTCAAAGGACTTGGGGGGAATGATGTTTTCTGGATAATTGAATCAGAATTAAACAGAAAGCCAATGCAACATTCAAGAAAACTTTCTTCACCTACTCTTTCTTACAATTTTTTCTTTATAAAATAGGTGAGTTGATCTTTATGACATAGCAAGATGTCTTTTCAAGGTAATTTAACAGTTCTCCAACAATGCAGGGTCTTGAAGTGTCTCTGTGTCTGCATCAGTTAGTGAAACCTTACTCATCCTTTAAGGTCTGGTTCAAACATTATTTTGTAAAGCTTTCACCAACTTCTCACTATTTTCCTGATGTAACATAGTCATTTGTTTTACACAGTATTATAGACTCCACTAGTTCAGTCAGAGGATGCTATGAAAACTGCAAAGATGTTCCCATTTTGCTTATAATGATGGTTAAAGTAATATCATAAGGTTCACCCTGTAATAGATTAAAATGGCTCAGAGACCTTGCCTGTTATGTCTCTCAAATTAAACTGGACTGAGAACATTGTCTACTAATAAGTAAGTGTCAAATAAATATGTAACACTTGTCACTCAGCACTAAGCTTGTTTTCCAAAAGAGTCTAGGGTACAGAGGATCAGGCAAAATGACATATTCCAGATCTTAAAAATGGAGGTTTACTTTGAATTGGGTGATTTGACGCCACTTGAGGTCATATATTAATTTGCCTGAACAGCCAACCTAATGCAACCTCTTCACTCATGTTTCCAAATCTCTTTGGGATTCCTCCATCATTCACCCAGACTTTCTCTTTTCCTTTCATCCACTATTGAAATACCACCTGTTCAATAAACACCTTAAGACACACGCTACTTATTGCCCACCCAATATTCATTCATTCTTACCTTTTTTCCTTAATAACTGAACCTTGAATTTATCCAAGGTGTATGTGTCCAATTTTCCAGATTCCCAGCAATCAGGAAAGCCTAGATGACCAAGTTCTGACCAAGGAGATGAAAAAGGACTTCACTGGGTGCGACGCACAGGAACTTTTCTGAGAGACAATTTCAGCTGGCGTGCTCTTGGGCCCTGTAAACTTTATCTTACCTTTTCCCCCCTTCTTGCCTGTCACCTACACTTACTGTCTGGAAGTACAACAGCCATTTTACAATGTTAAGGATGATGAAACCATAGGATTAAAGGAATCTGGACTCTTGATGACATTGCTGATTCACACGAATCTTGGACTGCCTAACTCTGATCTTCCGTGGCATGAGAACAGTAAACTCTTTTCCTGTCTAAGCTATCTTTTGTTGGGTTTCATTACTTGCAGCCAGAAACAGTCCCAACAGACACACCCTTCTTAACCCACTGAGAGGCCTAGAGTAAATTTGCCTGGGACTTTCCCTGTCCAAGCAGACAACTCCAACATTTCCTATTTCGGTCACCATGCTGCAACCTCCCCTACAGTAATGCTTGACAGGCATTTCAGAGAAAATGGCAATCTACATCAATGAAACTCCCAGAGATTATCAAGCCCTCTTATTTTTAACTATTTTTAGGATTTCCAGATAAAATATTTTTATTTGCTAAATCTAACAGCTCTACCCTTTTGGGGTGTGGGGGGGAACTGTCTCAAATGTTTTGTATGTTTTCCAAATATCTTGAACATTTTGTAATTTTATTATTTTCTGCATGTTCTGTGATTACTACATTGTGCTTTCTATACAATGCTCTTTACTGATGTTTACCCATGTGTTTCCCCTATATTAAGTGGTTCCAATCTGCTGAGTTTTATATGTGTATCTGTATACACACACACACACACACACACACACACACACACATTTTTCTCCTCTTGTCAATTGGCACTGCTTTACTGTCAGAATGCCTGTCTATAGCATTTTGACCTCGCTTATCCAATTTACTCTTAAATCTGTTTTTAACGTGACTATGCAAGAATTTGATCTAAAATAAAAATAGATAACTCTAAATAAGGATTTGCAGGACTAATCTATCAATAAAAATGATGAACTTTGTGATGTTTATTTTGACTACTCAGAGAAATGTTTCTGGCCTCTCGGTTCTTGATTATGTTTGGTTATAATACCAGTATATTCAAATGCTCCCTCGATAAGAGAGGTGCGGCTATGTAAGATTGGCTCTTTAAATATTTACCTGTTCTCGTTGTGTGTATGCATGCATGCATGTGCATCCCTGCATGCACACTCGTGCATGCACACACATGCACACGCGTGCACACATTCAGTAGTTATTTGACAGTTTTTGTGCCCTGAAAGTCCATGCATCTGAACGTTGTCTGTGCTAGTGTTTAAGCTCTTAGATGACAGGAAATCATTTTATTGAATTCACTTGACATCCCAGCACCACTGGTCAGCTGGGATTAACCGTTGCTCCTGTTGATGTTACTATTCTATATATTCTTGCTACTTAAGCAAAGACCAGCAGCATAGGCGTAGACAGGGAGTTTATTCAATGCAGAACCAAAACCCCTCCCGGACCTACTGAATCAAAATCTACATCTTTAACAAGATTCTCAGGTGATTCCTATGCTCACTGATGTTTGAGAAGCATTGATCTAGAGCAACAGTTTTCCAACTTTAGTGTGCATCAGAATCACCTGGAGGGCATATTAAAATACAGATTTCTGGGCCCAGCTTCCAGAATTTCAGACTCAGTGGGTCTGGGGCGGGGGCTGAGAATTTGCTTTCCTAACATGTTCTCAGATGGTGCTGATACTGCTGGTCTTTGGAACACAGTTTTGAGAACCACAGCTCTAAAGGAAACCGAGTGGCAGAATGGGCAAAAATTCAGTGGCTTAATAACCAGAAGGTCTGGATGTTAGCTTTTATTCCTCAACTGGCCGTGTGACTTTGAGAAGCTCTCTGTGCTCTCCACGGCTCTTTTTTCTCATTGGTAAATACGACGGTCTGAGGATCAGCTCAAGCACAGCACTTGTCTTCTCAGTTCTGTGTACACGTCTCCGCTCTGCACTGTCAGCTCCTTGAAACCAGGAACCATATTTTAATTATCGTTTTATCCCCAATGAGACCATAGGAGTCTCTTGGTTGAATGAGTGAGTAAATGAGCAAATAAAGAGATGAATCCAAGATGTAAGATACTGGTTGTGAAAACATTTTTAAAACGAAAAGTAGTTTTATTACTGTCGTATATGGTACCTAGTTCTTTTAAATTGTTGATTAAACTACTAGAGTTTCAAGAACACAGAGGATTATAATAATAAGAACAACAACAGCAACAACTAATACTCATGGTGATAATATTGGATTAGATGCAAAAATAATCTAACTGGTGAAGAATACATATCCCAGATGTTGAATCCACTAGGCATGGAAACTGCAAGACTCGAGGAGGCGTGATCTGATGAGTCAAGGGAGATGAGGGCTGGAGCAATTAAGCCAGACTCAAGGCCAGCCAAAAATTCTAGCAAACTGGCAGCTAACTCCTGCTTTAAGGGTGGTACTGCCGCTTGGGTGAGTCAGAGGATTTCTGGGAAAAGGACTCTGCGGTTTCAAGCTTAGCAATTCAGCGTTCTCTTTTGGGGCTTGGAGGGGTGAGAGGTGATGCGAGTGGAGAGCGAGCACGGTACAGGCTTGTCTGCATTCCAGCCCTCCCTGTGCACAGCCCCTCTAGGCTCCTTGCATGACCTCAAGGTGCAGTTCAAAGCTCCAAGCCAGGGCTAGGCTCTAACTCTCATTTTATAGGTCCTGTGACCTGGCTTAGAATCCTTCCGTTCCCAGTGGACCAGGTAAACAGGGTGTGACACTAGGAAAGTGTACAACTTCCTTGTTGCTTTAGAAACTGTTCAACTCTCCCCGTGGGCCACAGCCTTACCACGTCTGATGGCAATAAAACTAAGAAGCAAATGTTTCTGCCTGTGCCAAGAGAACGATGCTTGTAGAAAGGAAAATTGGATCAACAGCTCTATATGTAAGAAGCTGAACTGCCGGATGCGATCAGGGACCTAGAATATCATTTTATTAAGAGGGAGTAGATGCCCTTGGTACTTGAAAACTCAAATTTGTTTCCTCAAGAAGTTTTCATTTTCCTCTGCTATGTACATCTGTTTCTTACTTGCTTGCATTCATTTAAAAAAAAAAAAAAGAAAAAATGCAGCATACAACTAGGCTACAATGTAATGGGGTTTAATTAATGTTTGGGAAGTATTTTGAGTTTCTTTGATGAAAGATGTTGGCTGCCACTCAGCGTCTTACAGCACAATTTTCCTGCTGGTTGTTAAGGTTTTAAAGTGAAATAAAAATTCAATTGGATTTGAAACACTGCTGATGGGTGAGCTTTTATTTAATAAGTTAAAGAAAATAGCACATTACAATCACCTAAGCATGTGAGTTTCTCTGTAACATTGCTAAACTATAACCCAATATATCTCCAGAAGAAAAAAAAAAAAAAAAGAAAGGTAACAAAGCCCAGGAAAGTAGGTGTCAGCTTCCTACCAACAGATAATTGTAATGCCAATGTGGGTACCTGAAAGAAACACGAATAAAATGACCAGGAGTCAGTACCTGGTGTTTCAGGCAATTTCTGTAGGAAAGTTGAGCATGGCTACTATTTGAGTCTGCATTTGAGCTCAGCAAGGAACAGAACATTTAAGTAGAGCCAAATGTGGGTATAGCAGATATAAACATCTACGTATTTATGTATGCAAATTAGTATAAACATTTGATAGGCTTCAAATTATTTTCAACGGCTTTTCCTTCTCTCTGATGACACTGAAATGTCACCGTCTTCAAGCACTAACACTTCTTCAAGTGTGGCTCAGCGACTTCCCCAGAGTATACTTACTCTTATTCGAAGCACAGTTCTAACACGTTTGGTTAGCTGGTTTCTGAAGCCATGGCATTATCAGAGGCAAGAAATTAGATAAGGGAGTAGGGCTGCTAAGAAGGATGCCCTGATATCACCAAATAGTGACCGAGACATGCTTGCCAGGTATTTCATCCAGCAGTCATTTTAGGCTGTACAATGTTCACCTGTATACACTATCTGCCCCGGTTAGTCAGACGGCTGGGGAGCCATCTACAGTCAGCAATTCTTTGTCATCCACTCGCATCCTGTGTGAGGCACTGTCCTATCATTCCAGGGAAATTCCTAGCTTTCTGGATCTGTGCCCTGTTAGTAAACCCACTGGGCAGGACACAGCCCGCTCGTCATAGCGTGGGTGGTGCATGATCAAGGGCATTGGGAGTAACTGCTGAGCAGCCATTGGATAAGGATCTATTGCACGTGGCTCTGAGCCCTGCAGTTCAGGGCACTGATTTAATGTGTAGGTTCTGGGTTCAAATCCTCATTTCCTAGCCAACCACTAGTTAAGGAACGCTGACCAGTTACTCGTTCTTCCCGAGCCTCAGTTTTCTCATCGGTAAAATGTGAAATATAATGGGACCTGACTCAAAGGGTTGTGAAGAGGATCACATGAGATAACATAAAGGAAAGCACTTAGCACCTCTACAGAGACTGATATAGGAGACACTTAAAGCTGGAAGAGATCTTGGCAGTCAACTTATCCTAACACCTCATTTTAAAAATAAGGAGGGTGGGCTTCCCTGGTGGCGCAGTGGTTGAGAGTCCGCCTGCCGATGCAGGAGACACGGGTTCGTGCCCCGGTCCGGGAAGATCTCACATGCCGCGGAGCGGCTGGGCCCGTGAGCCATGGCCGCTGAGCCTGTGCGTCCGGAGCCTGTGCTCCTCAACGGGAGAGGCCACAACAGTGAGAGGCCCACGTACCGCAAAAAAAATAAAAATAAGGAGGGCTTCCCGGGTGGCACAGTGGTTAAGATCCGCCTGCCAATGCAAGGGACACGGGTTCGAGCCCTGGTCCAGGAAGATCCCATATGCCGTGGAGCAACTAAGCCGTGCACCACAACTACTTAGTCTGCTCTCTAGAGCCTGTGAGCCACAACTACTGAGGCTGCATGCCACAACTACTGAAGCCCATGCTCCTAGAGCCTGTGCTCTGCAACAAGAGAAGCCACTGCAGTGAGAAGCCCGCACACTGCAACGAAGAGTAGCCCCCACTCTCCACAACTATAGACAGCCTGCAGGCAGCAACGAAGATGCAACGCAGCCAAAAATAAATAAATAATTTATAAAAAAAAAATAATAAGGAAAATGAGTTCCAAAGAGGTAAAGGTCAACAGCCAAATATTGGCAGAACAGGAAACCTGATGGAAGAAAAGAAAAACAATTGCATACCTAGTCTATACCAGGAACATCACATCTACTATCATTTTTGAT